TAGGTGCGGGAGGTAGGTACGACGTGAGGGGGGAGGTAGGTACGATATGAGGGGGGGAGGTAGGTACGGCGTGAGGGGGAGAAGTAGGTACGGCGTGAGGGGGGAGGTAGGTACGGCATGAGGGGGTAGGTACGGCGTGAGGGGGTAGGTAGGTACGATATGAGGGGGGGAGGTACGGCGTGAGGGGGTAGGTAGGTACGATATGAGGGGGGGAGGTAGGTACGGAGTGAGGGGGGAGGTAGGTACGGCATGAGGGGGGTAGGTACGGCGTGAGGGGGTAGGTAGGTACGATATGAGGGGGGGAGGTAGGTACGACGTGAGGGGGGGAGGTAGGTACGGCGTAGGGGGGGAGGTAGGTACGGCTTAAGGGGGGTAGGTACGGCGTGAGGGGGTAGGTAGGTACGGCTGAGGGGGGGAGGTAGGTGCGGCGTGCATGGTGGAGGATGCGGGAGTCGCGGGGATAGTGGCGACGTGACATGCATGGCGACAAACAAGCGGAGTGGGGGAGGAGCAACGTGGGACACGCGGACGCCAGAGGAGGAGGGGGGCTTGCTATAAATAGGGGCCCTGGATCTTTGGCTAAGGGGCAACTCAGACACGACAGGCACACTAGTCCAGTGGTCTTGGTCTCATACTCTCAATCCAGTCACCTGGGTTCGATTCCTGTCAGTAGCATAGTTAGCTATAGCCCACCTTGTGGGCCTTATCCTTTGTATTTGGGTCGCTGTTCTTGGGCCTGTACCTCGGGCTTCTATACATATCGTGTTGGGCCTAGCGCCCTACCCCCCCGTTCTGTACTCTCTGTACTCGGTTTATGGTGGACCCGGTCCTAATAAAACCATCATTGGCACCGTCTGTGGGGATCGCTACGATTAGCCCGTGTTTGTAGTCTCTACCATCCTAGCAAGGTTCCGAGGTACGCCCAAATGGTTGATTCGCAAGAGGAGCTACCCTATAAGGTAACACACTTAGCACATCGAGACGCTACTCTGGTGAGTACACTTGAACACTTAGTTAGGTAAAGATTGTGTTTATTTTCCCGAACTATGTGCCCCTATGTGCTCCTATGTGTTCTGCATGCTTGGCCCACGGCCACCTCAACTATATGCTCATATGTGCTCTGCATGCTTGGCTCGCGGCCACCTCAACTATATGCTCATATGTGTCTGCATGCTTAGCCTGCGGCCACCTCAACTATGTGCTCTGCATGCTTGGCCCACGGCCACCTCAACCATGTGCTCTGCATGCTTGGCCCACCGCCACCTCAACTATGTGCTCTTACGTGCTATGCATGCTGGCTCTACGGCCATGGCAGATGGGGCATGTGGGTTATCGCAACCCACATGCGCGGACTTGCCCCCGGCAAGCCGCATGGTTTTGGCGGATGGGGCATGTGGGTTATCGCAACCCACATGCGCAGACTTTCCCCTGGTAAGCCGCATGGTTTTTGGCGGATGGGGCGTGTGGGTTATCGCAACCCACATGCGCGGACTTGCCCCCGGCAAGCCGCATGGTTTTGGCGGATGGGGCATGTGGGTTATCGCAACCCACATGCGCGGACTTGCCCCCGGCAAGCCGCATGGTTTTGGCGGATGGGGCATGTGGGTTATCGCAACCCACATGCGCGGACTTGCCCCCGGTAAGCCGCATGGTTTTTGGCGGATGGGGCGTGTGGGTTATCGCAACCCACATGCGCGGACTTGCCCCCGGCAAGCCGCATGGTTTTGGCGGATGGGGCATGTGGGTTATCGCAACCCACATGCGCGGACTTGCCCTCGGCAAGCCGCATGGTTTTTGGCGAATGGGGCGTGTGAGTTATCGCAACCCACATGCGCGGACTTGCCCCCGGCAAGCCGCATGGCATTGGCGGAGGGGGCGTGTGGGTTATCGCAACCCACACTACCCCGTCCTACAATCTTCAGTTACCTTCATCCTTTAAAAAAAAAAAAAAGGTTGCATGCAGGTGTAGCATGGAGAAGGAGCAAAGACATCCATTGAATATTTAAAAGAAGCATGCAGGTGCATCATGGAGAAATTGACAAAGCATACTAAATAAATGCAACAAAAGAGATGTACAGTGCAAGAAGCATCCAAGAAGTGACAATAGAGGAGTCACCTTGACCTCTCGACACTAGGTGATGAAGCGAAGGCCAAGGCAACATGCGGTGTGTGTGGCAGAGGTACAGAGTAATGGCGTGACGCACAACAATGGTGATAATGGAAGGTGGCGGCGAGAGGTTGAGAAAGGGAAAGAAAGGAGGTGGTGATACCGAATTCTACTTCTTTTAGGCATCAAGATACCTAAAAGAAGTGGGGGACTTGTGATGGGGATATCATGAAAGCTTGGGAACTAGAGGTTGAGTTTGGGAAAGAAAGGAGGTAGTTGTACCGAATTCTACTTCCTTTAGGCATCAAGATGCCTAAAAGAAGTGGGGGACTTGTGATGGGGATATGGGACCCTAGGGGTCCATTTTATTGGGAAAGTATTGACCTAAGTGGGGGTGGTGAAAGAAGGAGGTTGGACCAAGTCTTGTTGGGCTAGGAAGACAAGCACGCATGGTGGGCCAGGGTGAAGAACATGGACCGGAAGGCGGGAGGAAGTAGGTGCGGGAGGTAGGTACGGCGTGAGGGGGGGAGGTAGGTACGGCGTGAGGGGGGAGGTAGGTACGGCATGAGGGGGTAGGTACGGCGTGAGGGGGTAGGTAGGTACGATATGAAGGGGGGAGGTAGGTACGGCTTGAGGGAGGGAGGTAGGTACGGCGTGAGGGGGTAGGTAGGTACGATATGAGGGGGGAGGTAGGTACGGAGTGAGGGGGGAGGTAGGTACGGCATGAGGGGGTAGGTACGGCGTGAGGGGGTAGGTAGGTACGATATGAGGGGGGAGGTAGGTACGGCGTGAGGGCGGCGTGAGGGGGGAGGTAGGTACGGCATGAGGGGGGTAGGTACGGCGTGAGGGGGTAGGTAGGTACGGCTGAGGGGGGGAGGTAGGTGCGGCGTGCATGGTGGAGGATGCGGGAGTCGCGGGGATAGTGGCGACGTGACATGCATGGCGACAAACAAGCGGAGTGGGGGAGGAGCAACGTGGGACATGCGGACGCCAGAGGAGAGGGGGGGCTTGCTATAAATAGGGGCAACTCAGACACGACAGGCACACTAGTCCAGTGGTCTTGGTCTCATACTCTCAATCCAGTCACCTGGGTTCGATTCCTGTCAGTAGCATAGTTAGCTATAGCCCACCTTGTGGGCCTTATCCTTTGTATTTGGGTCGCTGTTCTTGGGCCTGTACCTCGGGTTTCTATACATATCGTGTTGGGCCTAGCTCCCTACCCCCCGTTCTGTACTCTCTGTACTCGGTTTATGGTGGACCCGGTCCTAATAAAACCATCAGTTTTATATCATACTATTTTTATATTTTCCCTTCAATCTTTCTCTCTTGACATGTCATTATCTGATTAAGTTTTTAAATATTTAATTATTAATTATTTTTTCTTCCAAAAAAAATATTTTTTAAAATTAATAGTAATATCAATTAATTTATAAACACCTATTAAATGAAATTCACATAAGGAGAGAAAAAAAAAAAAAATTGATGAAAAAATTTAGAAGGTTAAAATTAAAAATCCCATTGAAAATATCTGGTTTTGATTAACCAGATAAACTTGTCATTATGGCATGGAGTAAGAATTGAAGTAAGCAAAATATAATTGGTCAAACAAAATCCAAGCAAATTTCATTAAATGGGGTTAGGATAATATTGAAGGGTGTGCCTGTATGGGATTATCTCATCTCTTTCTCTCTCACTGTCACTCCCTAGAAATATACAATATTTAGTGAAATAAATCAGTCAACCAATCAAATTAACTTGATTTTTTTTTTAATATTCAAATAATAAGTAGATTCGTTTTTTAACTTGTGAAATCAGTCCATTAATGAAGCTAATAAATATAAACAAATTTATTTTCAAGTCAACTGTAAATATTTTGAAGTAAATTTAAAGAGGAGAAGTTACATTTTTCTATTGCCCCCACCTCCCCCATCCTAAATGGAATCAGACTTAAAATGGAATTTACGTGACCAAGTGAGATACTATCTGGACTTTTTTTTAATAAAAAATATTCTATTTATACCTCTTACATTTACAATTATTAATATTTAAATAATCTACTAAATCACAATAATCGTATTAATGACCCGTAATTTTCGTAAAAAATGTTCTTATAAATCGCAAAGACAAATTAAATTACATGAATTTCCGAAAGTTATACCATACATTTGTTTGGACAAAAGTTTTAATACAATTATTAGTTTAATATTAAAAATAATTTTTTTCCCCACCACACATATTTTACTCCCCTCGCTAAATTATTTTGTAGACACCTCTATTGGTGGGATAGCTTGCGGGCCTGAAAATTTAAGGGTTTAGTTGCTTCATACCCAAAACCAATGATCGAACTCTTGAGTTTTGGTTAAGAATGGATGAGTCCCGCTCACGGCAAATTATTGTGTAGACCATGGTTCACACTATGTTATGTGGACCCTAAAAAAAATACATTTTTAATATACTAAATGTACATTATTTTTGTACTGAATGTACATTATACAATATAATGTTTACTCAGAATAAAAATAATGTACATCCCCTGAATACAATGTACATTATTTTTGTACTGAATGTACATTATTTTTATATTGAATGTACATTATTTTACAGTAGACAAAATATGATACACACAACTTGTATAGACCATGATCCACACAATAATGATTGCCCTTTCACTCAACTACACTCCACTGGTTTTTACACTAATTTTTAGATATATGTGAGAGTGAAACTACAAGGTAATTCAAAAAAAAAAAAATATTATGGTGGACAATAAATTAATAATTAATACAAATTTTTGTTATATGCTTTTTTATTTTCTCTAACACTTGTAATCACAATTAACTTGCTTCCATCCCACCTTCTCTGTATATATATATACACATGCATAGAGCTCATCCCTATCATCTCTCTCTCTCTCTCTCTCATAAGTAGTTACTCTGTTTCGATATACGACCATGATTTCTAGGGACACTGCTCGTACTGTTGTTGGTATCATCGGTAGGATTATTACATCATTTATTATATTCCGCTATTTTTTAAGGTTTTGGTTAGTATATGTTAAGTATACTTATTATTAGATATATATAACTTAAAATGATTGAATCTGGTACAATATCTGATGTAATTATAAAATTATTTTTTTATTATATTTTAATGGATTTTATTCATTTTCAGGGAACGTGATTTCCTTCATCCTGTTCTTGTCACCCGTGTGAGCTATATTTTTCCTTTTCTTTTTTTTTTTTTGCTTGTAGCCTTTACTGTATATAGAAGGCTATAATTGTCTGGAAAAAAAAATAAATGAACATTTTTAATTAATTAATTAAATTGTGAAATAAATAAAAATGAATTTCAGGCCGACATTTGTGAAGATATGGAAGAAGAAATCGGTGGAGCAATTCTCGGCGGTGCCGTACCTGGCGACGTTCGCGAACTGCGCGCTGTGGGTACTATACGGGCTGCCTATGGTACACCCCCACAGCCCGCTGGTGATGACTACAAACGGCATCGGCTTCGCCATCGAGGTCGTCTATCTCCTCCTCTTTCTCATCTACTCCGACGCCAAGAAGCGCCTCAGACTGCTCTTCATCATCGTCCTCGAGCTCGTCTTCGTGGCGGCTCTCGCTGTTCTCGTCCTCACTCTCGCCCACACCTGGAAACTCCGCTCCGCCATTGTTGGTAGCATTTGCATGGTCGGTAACATCATGATGTATGCCTCTCCCTTGGCCGTCATGGTCAGTAATTTCTCCCTCCCTCCATTCTCAATTTCCACATTTCTTCCATCATATTCTTACTGTTACTTTTCATAACGAAATAAATATAAGATTTCAAGTTTCAGTCTTATCTTAATTAAAAAAAAAAAAGGCAAATCAGGTCGATTGCTGATTTGTCTTCTCAAAATTCTATTGATTTGTAGAGCTCTAAAATAATATATTTATGAATTTAATTGTAACTTTTAAACATTTAAGGGGTTGTGAAACGGTGGAAGGGCATTGGTGACGTAATGCGATGATAATGTTGGACACGTGTTTGCTAACTAGGTGTTGTACGTGTGACGTTGCAGTCATAGGTTTTGCAGCGTGTTGAATGTATTTAACATGAAATGGTGGTAGGTTGTAAGCGAGGAGAGAGGGAATAGTAAATGATAGATAAATCATAAATGATAAATGATAAATGTTGGGTTTGGTTTTCACAGAAATTGGTAATCAGTACGAAGAGCGTGGAGTACATGCCGTTTTTTCTTTCTTTGTTTTCCTTTGCCAATGCTGTCAGCTGGACTGCCTATGCCTTCATTCGCATCGACCCCTATATTCTGGTAATTATTACTTTTTCCTTTCCTTAAATAACTAAAAGTTAAAAATTAACAATAATAAACTTATTGGGTTTCAGGCACCAAATGGAATGGGAGGACTACTTGGGCTGGCCCAACTGATTTTGTATGCATTGTACTACAATTCTACAAAGAGGATTATTGCAGAGAGAGAGGCAAAAGGAGAAGTGGGGTTGGCCCAGAAGGGAGACACCAAAGTGCCCAACAATGAGCCTTGAAATTAACTCAGGATTCAAGAAGAGGCTATAATCTCTATTTTATATTTTAGAAGAAAAAAGGGGGAAAGAAAGCTGTTAGTTAATTGTCTATTCCTTTCTCCCAGTCTATCTTTTTTGTTTTTCAGTGTAATGAACTCGGTTGCAAGTAATGGTACTTTAAACCTCAAACAATCATGAGCTGTGTTAGAGCAAAATGTTGTGGTACACCAGATATAGTCTTGAATTTTATATAGTGACCTTCAAGTTGTGTTCGAATTTATGAAAAGCATATAGAAATGAGAAAACCACCAAAAGTTAATGGGAATAAAGGGTGTGCTAAATGTAGAATAGAAATACAGCATGAATCACTCATCACTGGGCTTTGTCCTCCTGCTTCTGCTGCAAGTACCTACAAAAGGTGGGAGTAAGGAGGAAGAATATTTAGGACACCAGATATGGCCAAAATATGTTAATCTGGGGTAACCCCAGCCAAGATGGTAAGAGATCCACGCTTGTAACCACAAGGTGACAAGATCACGAGTTCGAATTCTTGTCACCTTGGTTTGAGCCAGTCAGCTATGGGTAACCTACACGGCTACGCTAGTTTACTTGTGGTCCTTTGCCTGTTAGGATCACAATACAGGGTTTACTTACACCCAAAAGAGTTGTGGGGTTTCATTTACTCTGAGAGAACGGAACATTCTTCATTTAGGAATATCCATAAATCATTAATTCAGGCATGGTGAAAATACTTTTATCCATCTCAATTCTCAACCAAGATTATCTTATGATTCTGATATTGATTCATCACACCAAGAAACACAAACTTTGTTTAGTAACAGATTCTTACCCCTGACCCTTTGCCCAACGAGATAGTTGATAGAGCTGCACACACTCGTTTGAGGCATGGCATGCCAAAAGCAGATAGTTGCGAGGCTGGACCATCCATGCAAACCTCATGAACAGTGCAGAATATACACACATTGCTGCCACACCAATCAAAAGGGAATATTAGGCTCTAAATCACGGGCTGCACATGCTCTTCCTTTTAGGTGAGATGTACTCTACCTGATGTCATGTTTCCAGATATCATTTCTGGTGGCTTCTGTGTGTCCACTAATCCCTGCGTGCCCATTAACATAATCAAGAAAAAGTAGAATGAAGTAGCCAAAATTTTGACTTAGTATCTCAGATGGAGAAACACACCGCTACAACAAATCCCCAGTTAGCAACAGGACCCCAGAAATGAGTTGTTTTAGGGCCAACAGGGCTGTTCAAAAATGCTCTAAAGGAAGCCATAAGGACACACTGCTCAAGAATCCACCACAACTGTTAGAATGTAAACCCAAAAACGAAACAAATGAAAAGAACAGTTGTAAATGAAGAAAATGGAATCACAACAACCAGCAAGAAAAAAAAAAAAAAAGAATGTGATGCAATGCATCAAAAGCAAAAGCAAAGCCATATTCTTGTGTCCAGGAGGGCTGATGGCTAGCTGTGCAGTGTTTTGGTCAAAAGTGATAACCTTGGCCATAGACATCCAAATGCTACTGTGTTTGCTGCATCTGAAAGCTAAGAGACAGACCTCTCCAATGGTATATGAATAATTACCTAATTCACATTCATCTGATTGCTATCCTCACTCAAAGTGATGACACCTTGAGATCATGTTTTGGTGTTGAACTGTACAAGTCTCCCTAGTTTTTTATGAAAGAATAAAATGGGAAGTCTCTGAGTTCCTTTATTAGTAGTGTTTTGTGTTCCAAATTCCCATTTGCCCTTCCACTTTCCCACACCATTGGAATACAAGATTGTGAGTTTTGCAATCAAAGAAGACAATAGATTCTTAACAAACATAGATTATGGCCGGTAACATAGTTAGCTTATCAATCAATTTTGGTTTATTAAAGCACTATTAGCTGTTTGATTTGGTTAAACAACCAATATAAGTGTTTGATTAATCAAATTTTTTGTAACAGCTTATTGCTCCAAAATGCTAAAAATTACAAATTTATTAACTTTTTGAGAAAGTCATTTTGCATATAATCAGCTATCGGCTAACAGCTAATTTACAAAACATTTTTCTACAATCCGCTAATGCTATCAACTAGTCAAAATTACTAACTCAATCAGCTAAGAGTATTGGCATAACCATAACTTTAGGAACGTTATACTGTGGCACCGTGTCCACCTTGCAAGGTGGGCACGGTTCCAGATTCATAATTTCTATACTGTAGATTCATAATTTTTAAACTGTAGATTCATAATTTCTATACCGTAGATTCATAATTTAAATACAGTAAATTCATAATTTCTATACAGTAGATTCATAATTTCTATACTGCAGATTCATAATATCTGTACTGTAGATTCATAATTTCTAAATTGTATAGCTATCAAATTATGAACATCTAGTTCTGTGATTTGTGAATACAGAGTTCAACAATTGGGAATATCAAAAATTATGAACATATAGCTCTATAATTATGAATATATATTTATAAAATTATGAACATATAGCTCTATCACATGTTCACAAACTTAATACTGTAGATTAATAACTTTTATAATGTAGATTCATACTGAAGACGAAACAATGCTATTGTGAAGAGAAAAATGCAACAGTATAGAAATTATGAATCTAGAATCGTGCCCACCACAGCATAATTTGCCATAAATTTATTGCTAGAAACCAGTGTTAAAAAATCACAATACGATTATATTTTGTAATTGTTCTCGTGTTGAAACATCCAACAATTCTCTGATCTTTACCATACCAAATCATCTTACACCATTAGAAACAACAAACACCTATACAGCGATAGCACACACCATTACTGACAAATTTTGAATAATTGTATAAACTTCAGTTTCATTTTTTCAAATTCCACTGAAATACAGAAATGGTGTCAATTTACAGAACCTAAAATCGGAACTAACGCATAACAGAGTTTTCGTCTTCCCCAACACAATCGCAAACTAGGGATGAATATACGATTCAAATACAAAATCTGTAAACCAATCTAAACAATTAAGTCTACTGCATATATATCTATATATCCCTAAAACAATAATAATAATAATAATAATGTATACAAATGAAATATCAGTACCTTTGACTAAGATCGATCGATCGATTACTGAAGATGCTGCAAAATGGGGTTGGAGAGCTGAAGATGTGTAGAATAGAAGAAATAGAAGGAACAAAAAAAAAAAAAAAAATGTTCCTTTCAGATCAGAGTCAGGTTTGGTGGTCGCGGAAGGCGGAGCGAGATAGCAGCCGTCGAGAGGGCATTGATTTTGAGTAGATGCGACCACCTAGAGTCTTTGTAGTCTTCCAGTAAATATGTGCCACGTTGCAAATGTCTGGTACAGTTTTCATTTTCGCCACTAAAGATTCTGTAGATATCATTCAAACCCTTAAGGCATTTGGTTGGAGAAAGGAATTGCAATTTCATAAGAGATCATTACTTGAAATAAAGTGGAGATTTTAAGTAGTATAAAATTCATATGGGAATTGAAAGGGAATAAGTAGTATAAAATTCAAAATGCTCATTATTGTTGTCAAGCATCAATTTTTAAGTTAAAAAAGATGTTGGGTAATTTTGTCTCATCTTTATCTTTTTTTCTTCCTAAAATTCATAGAATTAAATCCCAAGGGGAGTATGGGATTTTAATTCCCTTCAACCAAATGCCCTGCCAATGGGGTTTGGTTGGATATAATTGTTTTTTTTTTTTTTTTGCTTTATTCCATGCAAATGCAAATTACAATGTTTAATTAAGGGTGTGTTTGGAAACCCGGAAAATGACTTCTGGAAGTCATTTTCCGGGGTTTTGGTGTTTGGTTACATTGGAAAATGACTGGTCAAAGGAAAATGGGGTGGAAGTCAATGGAAAAGGAAGGCAATTTTATGGAAAATGACTTCCCCTTTTTTTTGGGGGAAGTCATTTTCCAACTTTTACACCAACATCATCAACACCATACCACCACCACCACCACTACCAACATACCACCGTCGCCGCCATCTCCACCATACCACCGCCACCACCACCACCATACCACCGTTGTCACACCACCGCCGCCGCCACCACTACCACCATACCACCGCAACCACCGTCGCCACCACTACCGTCGCCGCCACTACCACCATACCACCGCAACCACCGTCGCCGCCACTACCACCATACCACCGCAACCACTGTCGCCGCCATCACCACCATGCCACCGCCCCCACCACCACCATACCATCGCACCCACCGCCGCCGCCACCACCACCATACCACCGCAACCACCGTCGCCGCCACCACTACCGTCATACCACCGCCGCTGCCACCACCACCATACCACCGCCGCCACCACCACACCACCGCCGCCGCCACCACCACCATACCACCGCAACCACCGTCGCCGCCACCACTACCGTCATACCACCGCCGCCGCCACCACCACCATACCACCGCCACCACTACCACACCACCGCCGCCACCGCCACCACCACCATACCACCGCCACCACCACCACACCACCGCTGCCACCGCCACCACCACCACCATACCACCGCAACCACCACCACCACTACCACCACCATACCACCGCAACCACCGTCACCGCCACCACTACCACCATACCACCGCCGCCGCCGCCACCACCATACCACCGTCGCCGCCACCACCACCACCACCGTCGCCGCCACCACCACCACCACCACACCATCGTCATACTACCACCACCATCACACCACCACCAATTATTATTATTATTATTATTATTATTATTATTATTATTATTATTATTATTATATAACGAATAACACCACTACCACTACACCACCACCACCACCATAATATTTTTGATATATTATTAGTTTTTTTTTTTTTTTTTTTGTTGAAAAACTTAGCTATTTTTTATTATATTTAAAATTAATATTATATTATTATATATATTATTATACATGTTGTAATATTCTAAATAAAATAATTAAAATGTTTAATTATACAATTCTACTCATTTTCCAGAAAATGAACCAAACACACAAAAACAGTTTTCCAGAATGCAACCAAACACCGGAAAGGAAAATGTTTTCCGAAAAATGACTCATTTTCCAGAAAACATTTTCCAGAAGTCATTTTCCTGGTTTCCAAACGGACCCTAAAGGAATTGTAATTTTACAGAATTGTAATTCCCTCTTTTTGTTGAATTGCAATTCATGGAGTACCCTCATGAATTACAATTCAATGCTTGCAAGAAAGGAAAAAAGGAATGAAATTACAAAAGTATCCTTAGTTGTTGTTATTATTATTATTATTATTATTATTATTATTATTATTATTAGGGATAAAGGTCAAATAGACCCTCGAACTAAAAAAAAACCTTCAATTAAACCCTTAAACTTGTTAAATGTGTGTAATTATCATTTTTTACAGGTTACCAAAAAATAACCAAGTTAATTTTGCTTGCTTGGCAATTACATGACATTTTATTTAAATATTTTTAAAAAAATTAAAAGAAAAGTCGCCGGTCCGTTCGTAGTTGCCGGCGGCGGATAAGCTGCTGGATTCATCAGTTCGACGCCACCGTTACATTTGAACAGAGAAGCTCCAAATCTTGCATCTTTGTCCCTTGACTTTTCCACCTGAAGTGTCATCCTCAATCACAACCTTGAATTCCTTGGGAGCATTCAGGACGAGCTCAGTTAGATGGATTGCAGCCTCTTGTCCATAATCATCTTCCAAAATAAAGGCAAGACTGTAAAGCTGAGCAAGGCCATAAGCAGAGGATACTGAGGCATCAGCCGGACGTAACTGACGGTAGGGAACAACTTCTTGGTTTCCATAATCAATGTACAACACTTCGAACTGGTCGTTCAAGCACCTCGAGGGGCATTCACAATCATTGCTCGGTTCCATGAATTGTCTGCACTAAACTCTGAAAGCACTATATCACCCTTCTTAGGTGATGGATTTAATTAACTCGGGGTGGACCCGAATCAATAAATCCGGATAAGAACGTAATATAAATATAAATAATATATAAATAAACGAAACGATGTCGTAAAGCCGTGAGACCGTATATTGTATTAAATGTCGTAAATTGGCTATTACAATGTTTCTCGGGACAAAGCGTATGTAATAGATGTAGAATGTGTCTTCGTTAAGGGGGCTTTTATATAAGCTAAACCCCTCACCCGCCTCCCCCTAAATCGGGGGGCGGTTGGATCACTACTTTGACCGGGCCCGGGTGGACCGAGTTGGGTCGGGTCGGGTCGGGTCCTGAGCTCGGGTGGTGCCGAGTTACCCTACCCGAGCCCGCTATGGGCCGAGCTCGGGTAGGGTCGTGTCATCGGACCCGAGCCCTACGTAGCTCGGCTCGGGTCGGGGCACCTCCATGGTTCCGTGGGCCGGGTGTTTTTGGACTCTCACGCGGTGCTCCGAGTCCGTGTTGCTACCCCGGGTCGGGTCGTGGGTATAATATATCCATCATTAGGATTGAAAGCATCAATAACAGGAGCCTCCTGAAGGTTGAGAGAAGCAAGCTGTTTCTGAATGGAGGCCACTTTTTGATCTGCAACTGATTGGACATAGAACTTCCTACCTCCCAAGACTTCAGTAACAGCTACCTTCAACTCTTCAATTCCTTTTGTCTCCTTTTAACAACATGCAGGACCAGTGGAATGTTCCTCTCCGTCAATATAGTTCTCCCAAATCTTGAGTTTCTGCCTTTCCGCCAACTGCTCAGGCTGAGCAAGAAGGTGATTAGGTGAGCAAAGGAGAGTAGCTTCGTATTTACTGCTTTTATGTTTTTTTTTTTCATCTTCCTGACCTGCATTATCTCACTCAACCAAGAAATGCTATACCCTTTGGAGTCTCCTAGGAAAGAAAAAAAAAAAAAAAAAAAAAAAAAAAAAAAAACCACCCGTAGGCCTCGACAAAGCAGGAAAGCGAAGAAGACTGGTCTAAATCTTTCGCCGGAGAAATGCCGCTTTGAAGAAATCCAAGACTTGCCGAAGAAGGAGAATGTCTGACTGAAAAAAAAAAAAAACACACCTGAGGCAGAGGAGCGGATGCGACAGTTCGACGGAGTTGGAGCTTTCTGGCTTCTCCATGAAAGGAGCTTCTCTGTTCATGGAGAAACCATTGCGGCAGACTGGGCATTGGGCAAGCTATTTTTTTAAATAATATAATTAATTTACTTTTTTAAGTTTTCAAAAAATATTACTTTAAAAAAAATTAAATATTAATTAAAGTGGCATCTTACGTGGAATCTTACATGGCAGGTGACTTGAAGGTAACATCCTATTATAGGTCAAATAGGTTAATTGCACTATTTTAACGAGTTTAAGGGTTTTTTTTTTTTTTTTTTTTTTTTTTTTTTTTTTTTTTTTGAGGGGCTAATTGCATTTTGGTATAAAGTTGGAGGGTCTATTTGACCCTTATCCCTCCTCCTTCTTCTTCTTCTTCTTCTCTTATATAATGACATTTTAGTCTTTATACCACTTCTTTCCTTCTCAATGTAATTTGAATTCCTACATTATTCTCACCTTATTCTTTTCCCACCGAATTGCAATTCATTTCCTTCCTAATGTTATTTATACCCGAAACTATGAAATTATTAAATCTATATAAGGAGTTTTAGGAAAATGGTCAAATTGACCCCTTTAAGTGAACCAGATAGTGCAATTAGATCCTCTAAATAAAAAAAGTTCCACTCAAATCTTCTAAACTGGTAAAATTGTTTACTAGGATCCAAATTGACTTGTTTAGCATGTTAATTCTTCACAGGTTTGATACGTGTTCCTTTTTTTTTTTTATTAAAAAAAAATTATTTCTATTAGATATATTACGACAGACAATGGCTATCTCATTCACGACCAGCCTGCACAGCCACGCCAGTCTAAGAATGACGGTCATGGCTGTCTTTGGTGAGACATTCATGACCGTCTAAAAAAAAAATTATGAACACTATTTTGGCCTCACCGACGGCCTTGAACAAGTGGTTTGTCATATACAATATCTTTTTTTCGTTTTCCGTTTTTCGTTCGGTTTAATTTTTTTTTTTTCTTTTTATGTTAGATGAGGATTTAATGATAGGGATTGATAGTTGAACTTGGTCATAGGTTACTACAACGCCGGCGACAACGTAAAGTTTAGCCTTCCAATGGCGTTTTCGTGGGTCGTGCTCGAATATGGTGAAGAAATTGCCGACATCAGCGAGTACCGCCATGCTCTGGAGGTGATCAAGTGGGGGACTGATTTCTTCATCAAAACTCATACTCATCCTCCTGTCCTCTGGGTCATAA